TTTTTCTTGTTACAAGATAATATTTTTAACCCCTGATTAAAAAGACAAAATTTGATTTATTTTAGACTTATGGATGCAACTAAGCCTTGACAAATCACAAATTTGAAAATTTTGCTTTGTTAACATGGTTAATTTGAAAAGAATGACAAAGGGTAATCTATGGACTCAATCCCAATGATTGTCTCAAGTTAGTGGTTGAAGCCTGAAGCTGAAAGCATAGTTTGAAACTTCCAAATAGATATGACCATTTGTTGAACCAGCGAACCCTGAACTGACACGTGGTCAACGTGCCTTGAACCAAGCTTGTAGTTTGGCCGGACTGATTGGGTCACATATATGTACTTTTTGAACCGCCTGGCTGGTTCCGAACTAGAATCGGCGATTCAGTCATTTTTTTTTATTTTTATTATTTATTTAGCGAATCATGCCGAACTGAAACTGGCAGCTCATCAAACTGGCCCCAAATTACCGGTTGACCAAACTGGGCCATCTATATGTTCGAGCCGGTATAGGGTCGTTCAACCCTTGGCTCGATCAGTAGTTCCAACCTCAAATTGGGATCGGAACTGATTTTGGCCATTGTCTACTTTTAAATTACCTTTGGCGTCCGGTGCACCGTCACATAAATCATTAATGGAACCCTCCCCTTGATAATTCAGTTCGTCTTGATGTGAATGCAAGTGTCAATATGAAATGAAAACTCACAGATCCGGTATAGGTGGAATAACTCGTGATGATTAAGGTAGAACTCTTTTTGCCTTTTGAAATGTCAGTCAGTAATTCAGGTTTAGTTATCCATTGCAAGCTCTTTGCCATCAAAGAAAGTTTGGATAAATATTGCTCGTTGCACTAAGTTTCTCTCATTATTTACATGGACTCTTTGTTGGCGGCAACCAATTACCGATTCAACGAGACATATGGTTACATCGCTCTTGGTCTAAAGATACTAATGCTCTTATGTCTCAAACGACAGTGTCTAGATGACTCAAAAGACGCATAGTTACATTCGCTATCTGGTTTAAAAATATTGATGCTCTTATATCTCAAACGACAGTGTCTAGATGACTCGACCACATGCGTCATTCGGCAAATAATGTCAGTATGTCGCTACACTTTTGCAAACTTTGCTTCTTTTTTAAATTCCCACTTTTTATAGAAATGTGATGTTCTTTCCTGTTTGACTGACAGAACTTATCTGTACTAATGTACCGATTTACATTTTATTTGATCTTGATAAGTTTCTTTTCCTTTAAAAAATATAATTACAAAATACACATAACAATTCCTTTCCCTCTCTACTTTCTCTCTCTAGGTCTCCGTATCAGCTGCAGCTCTGCAACCCTCCATTTTTGTCCCTCTTTGGTTTCTTGATTCTTCGAATTTCTTTTCTCCAAAATAAAGGCAAATTTTGTAGAAAAAATTAGCGAATTCCAATCATTTGGTGCTTTGATTCTTACTTTAATTTATTTTCCCGTAATTTGGGGTAGAAAAGAGAGGGAGCTGCCAAATTTCGTATACATTCTGAAATAATTTTGAAGTTATTTGGATGCAAGTGAAAACTCCGCACGCGAAAATGATGAATTCATCGTTTTCTCCTCACCCCATTTCAATTTGATGAAGGTATGATGCTTTTGTTATCTATTTATCCTCTGCGCGTTCGTATCTGGTGACGGCCGCGTGTGCGTGTGTGTTCTTTTCGTGTATATTTGTTTGTGTTGACTAAATTTCTCTATCCAAAATTCTCGCAAGAAAATAGGGATTCCTCTCAATTGATCGGCAGGTATAACCGATTGAATCAGTATATGTGAAGATCGGTGCTTTTTTTTTTTGGTATATTGGATTAGTTTATTTTTCATCTGTTGGGGTTTTTCTGCTCGCCGATTTTCGGATATTGAGGTTGATAGGATGTAATGAGTCGGTAATGGCTGTCTTGTTTCTTATTTATTCTATTATGGGATTCATGTTGAAAGTGTCGATTATTTATTTAGATGTGAAGAATATGGAACCTTAAAAGTGATGCATTGCATTTGTGTCACTTTAGCTGTAACACCTGATATAACAATCAGGTTCGGATATTCTTTTTACTTTGTACTGGAGATTGAACTGACAAAAGAATTGGAACAATGTTGATTTGATGAATTTATGATAGCATGATTGGATATGAAATGGGAAAGTGCTGTTGAATTGTGTATTTTTGGGGAATATTGATAAGCAATTGCATTTTTGGGGGAAAAAAAATCAATGGAGGATCGCAAATGACAGTCATTTTGTGATTACATGTCTCGTGACGGATACTATTCCCAAGTATTGAGGAGATTTTTGTTGAACAGATGAGAACTTCACTTGTTTTACAATTTTGTGGGCGATTGAACTTAGAAAGTGTTTTTATATATGAAGTAGTTTTCTGTTCATCAATCCCCATAACACTCAGTTCCAATCTTCTTGTTGTTATGCTCGTGCGAATATCTTATGGAACTAATTATAGGATCAATCTAGCTCGATGGTTTGAATTTCATTTGACAAACTGTGGTAATAATATCATTTGTGCTTATTTTGAAAACTTAAAAGTTTTTAACTTTTTGTCAACCTGCAGTGACGGAGGTTTTGTTTTCTGGACAAGATAATGGTGACGTGTTTAGATGGAGTGAAGCATATACTTTCTACTGTAGTAAATTGCTGTGAGTCTGGTATTAACAAGCAACCTAGGGGACTCGGAAATCCTGAAGCTCTAGCTAGAGAGACCGTGTGTAAGTTCTTCTAAATTCTTTTTTTTTTTCTTTGTCTTTTCATATGTTATCATTGGGTGTTTCTGTTATAATAAAGATAGCATTTTTCCAAATTCTTGGTAATGATGCTTTCACTTGGAACTGAGTTTATCCAGTTCACAGAAAAAAAAAAAGACTCAGAAAATTCAGATTTTGTTATTTGTCACAGAGTATAAGGATGAATTGCTAGCAGTGATCAGAAGAGAACATATGTGCTGCAGTGAAAAATTTACATAAAACAATGAAAGTATTAATTCAATTCAGTCTAGCATTATCTATTGCTTATATTTTACTTTCGGATATATACAACAAAGAAACAAAGTATGTCCCAAAATTTCGGATATAATACTACAAATAGCGCCAACATTTTTGGTCGATCGTTGGACGATAAACTCTCTTTTCCCGGTCTGAAATTGAAATAACTTTTTGTTTTAGAGTGATGGGACTTAGTTTAAGCTAAATAGCTTATAAAAAAATTGTAATTTGGCACTAATTATTCCCACGCAAAATAAAGAAAATAACAGTTTGGTAGCTTGAATATGAGCAACATGCAGGGATTTCTTGCTAATTAACTTGTCTGCTTTTAATGCCAGTCAGTGTAAGCGAAATCGAAGCACTATATGAATTGTTTAAAAAGATCAGCAGTGCTGTGATAGACGACGGGCTGATTAACAAGGTATTATGCATTGAAATTTTCTATTAAAAGTCACTTTTTGGACCTCGGTTTTGGTGTTTATGCCGTCGCGAAATATTTCACTTGCAGGAAGAGTTCCAGCTAGCGCTGTTCAAGACAAACAAAAAGGAGAGCCTTTTTGCTGATAGGGTTAGTTATCATGTGTCAATAATATTGCAAGCTGCTAAATCATCATGTTTGAAATTTATTTGGTACAGTTGTGAAAATGAAACCTTGTGAGTTTTTTGTAATATGAAGGTATTTGACCTGTTTGACACGAAGCACAATGGAATACTGGACTTTGAAGAGTTTGCACGTGCCCTCTCGGTCTTTCACCCACATGCCCCAATTGACGAAAAGATTGATTGTGAGTATCATATTGATGCTAGTTTTATCTGGGTATCAAGTTAATCGATGATAAATTACTGTATAAGAAGTGTTTAGGGCGTGATTGGATACAAATACATCAGCTCAAAATGAGTTTTTTTTTCTTTTTCTTTTTTTTCTTAACCAGAGTTAATTTTGAGAAAAAAGTGGTATGATTAGTTGTTAGTGAGATTTTGAGTTTATATTAAAATAATATTTAAAATAAAATAATTAAAGTTTATTTGATGGAAAAGTAGGAGAGAGTTGATGTGACGTGATTGTTAGTTAAAATTATGTGAGTGAATGAAGAGTAACTTAAAATTGATGTGATGTATAAGAAGGAATGATTGATGGAGTTGAGTTAAAGTTGAGGTAGATTTTGAGTATGAATTGTGATAATTAATAAACAAACACACCCTTAGCAATGGATTTTGAAGTATTCCATCTTCCGTGTGTTAAAATGTTTATAACATTGCGCTGTTACAGTTTCATTCCAATTATATGATCTCAAGCAGCAAGGATTCATTGAAAGACAAGAGGTAAGTTTGGTTCTTCTTCGGGGATACCCAGTTTTACACAAGATCAAATTCTGATTGGAGGATCATATCTGTTTTTTCTCTTTACTTAACTCGAAATGAGATTTCGAGTGTCTGGTTAGCAGTACTTGTTATAATTAATTGGTATTCTGTAGGTAAAGCAAATGGTGGTGGCAACACTGGCTGAATCTGGCATGAACCTTTCAGATGATGTTATCGAGAGTATCATTGATAAGGTAAGGTTTCTCATCCTGATCGACTTTTATGTAGGTTTTTAGTTTATATTTATCTGCATAAATTTTTAATAAGCGATATTTATATGTTTTATGTAGTTAAATTGAGTTGATTATATTTTTCTTGAGTTGTAAACTGATTTCATTTATAGGGTGTTCGGATGATCGATCCCTTTTTTTCTTTACAGATCTTCAACCTTTAAAATGTTTCTAGAAGCTTATAACAACATATGGTTAATCATATGATAAAAATTGGCTTCTCAATTATTTTGAAGAAAAAAGGATATACAAATGATGGAGCCCGTTAAAAACAAAATCTTGTTCCGAAAAAAGTTAGGTTCTCTTACATTTTCCTAGAACCAAATTATACGGTTTTCAGACGTTCGAGGAAGCTGACACTAAGCACGACGGGAAGATTGATAAAGAAGAGTGGAGGAGCCTCGTTCTTCGCCATCCGTCACTTTTAAAGAATATGACCCTTCAATACCTCAAGTAAGTTTTTATTATACTTCAATAAGTTTTATGCATATAGCAATATTGAGGCTTAGGCTATGTTTGATGAAACTAGTTGAGTGATTTTCGAGCTTATAATTTATAGCTTATGACTTGTGGTTGAAAAACTAGCTTATATGATTAAAGTGTTTGATAAAATAGCTGAAATAAAAATTTCAACGAGCTTATTTGAAAAACTATTCAAATAAGCTTATGAGATAAGCTCGAACTTTTTAAAAAAACTTGTCCTACCAAATGAAGCTTATTTAAATACAAAAAGTTTATAAACTAATCAGATAAGCTATAAGCTAGCTTATTTGGTTACCAAAAATTGCCTTAGTTTCAGCCGGTCTATGAGCTTTTACGTGTAATATATTTAGACACACTCATTTAACTAATTATGATGTACAGAGACATAACCACCACATTCCCGAGCTTCGTGTTTCATTCCCAAGTCGATGATACGTGAGATTTGGAAGGCAAGTTCATTGTTGCTAAAAAGACTATGGGTTTCTTCGTGGGTGTTTTGCGTTATATATA